GTTTCTGTTTTGTAAATAAATTTGTTTACCTTTTTTTAATATATATATCTTAGGGATAATTTTAAAACTTCCTTTTAATTTTTAAAATATCTGTTTTAAAACACTTCAGATGTTATTGGTATTACTTGCTCTTTAAAGGTTTGGGGGTAGAACTCACCTGTGAAATGGAGCGGGGGCTCTTGCTTTCTGAGGGGCAGTTCTCAGTGATTTACTCTCCTTCTTACGCAATCAGCCTACTTCCTCTTTGGAGACCAGTGTCGGTAACCTGGGTTTTCCCCGGAAAGCCTCCATTTCATCAGGGTTGTCAGCTGTGTGTGTACGGGGCTGTCTTTCCCTGGGTTGTATCTCGTGTCCTTCACGCTGAGTGCTCTGTTCTCTCCTACAGGCACAGGGAATGTCGTGGTCATTATGATTAGCTACCTGAAAGGAAGAGAGATTCTGGATCTGGTGCGTGAAGGCATCCCCGTCAGAGTGGGCGTGGCGGTGGGCACCCGCCACGTGCAGGAGTTAATCAGTGGCCAGTCCGTGGTGTTCGTGGCCATCGCCTTCATCAGCATGATGATCATCTCACTGGCCTGGCTCATATTTTACTACATACAGCGCTTCCTGTACACCGGCTCCCACCTGGGCAGTCAGGTGAGTGCAGCTGACTCCTGCTTTTCAAAAGACAGTTCGTAAGTATTTCCCATCGATGCCACTTGACGTTATATTGGACAGTATTCTTCATTTCATGATCACTCATCATTTTTAAGTATGAATGGGATTTTCTTTGAAATAAATTTTGTTAGAATATATGAAACTTTCCATCCCGTGGGAAATCAGATCCCTCTAAATCCAGGTCACGTTTTGCTCCTGTGGGGACCCTCTGTCTTCTCCAGAAATAAAGGAGTGACAAAAAGGCATGAGCTGGAGGGGCCCCGGCCCTGTGTTTAGAAAGAGAACCGGGCATCGCCGTCTCCAATGCGGAGCAGAAACCCTGTCCCAGTAACAGCAGAGAGGAGGGCAGGTGAGGGGCCAGGGGCTTCCAGAGGTGGGCCCTTTGGGGTCCACGCTCACGTGGTTGTCCTGAGAGTCGCCCCTCCTGGCTCTGCAGGCAGGTACATGATCATCATTTCTGGGTCACCTCCCACCTCCGACTAGGAAGCCTCTTTCCTTCTAGGGACATTAGCAGGTGAGGGTGCAATGCCCCCTCCTCAGCCGACTTTTTGACTTAAACGTAAGATGGTTAAATACTTAAACATAAAATTGGTTTCTTGCCAACATTGAGACATAAGATGAAGTTTTTCTTCAGACCTGGAATTGAAAATAAGTATTCTTGATCAAACAGCTCTTTAAGTTATATGTGTCTGTTCTGTACATTAGGGCTTAAGTGGTAATTTTTTTCAAGGTATTTTTACTGT